TCATTTGAATAATTTTCACTGAAAGCAATCAGTACGATATCGGATTTATCCATAAATGATTGCAATGATGTTGTATTTGTTAGAGTTTCATATATAGAATAACTTTCGCTAACTAAACAATTCTTTATACGGTTACAAAAAGTTTGATCATTTTGACAATAACTAAAATAAATATTATATCCAATGCGATTCGATGGATTTGAACGAGTTGTTTTTCTTGGAGTAACTGGTGGTGGAATTTGTAAAGATGATTTTTGTTTTAAAATGTCTGACATTAATTGATATTTTTCTATTGCTTTTTCAACCTGTCGTATTGAACCAATAAGATGCATTTGTAAATTTTTAACTAATTCAATTTTGGGTAATACTGATTTAGTTAAACAATATTTATAGAAAACATTTATCATATTTTGATCCCATTGTTTGATATCGATTTCATTAGTTAAATTTTTATCGACTAATATATGTTTTTGAATATAATTATTTACTTCATTTTCACATTTGATTTGATCGAGATTTGATGATGTTGTCAATGTGATTTGAATTACTTTAAAAAACAAAGAGATTTTTTAACATATCGCTATTCGATATAAATAAATAAAAACAAGCTTTTTACTAGATATTGGAGATACAAATTGAGCAAATCCATCTTGATTTGTTTGTAATTTAATAAAAATTTCATAAAATTCTTTATATAAATTTATTTGTTGATTATTAAAAATAAATAAAATTCTCCAATTCATTTTTCTTGTTATAATATCTTGTTTAACTTCATTAATAAGACAATTAGCTAATAGCTGTTGTTGTAGTTGAAGTTCAATGTTTTCCCATTCATTCGTTTGATAAACTATTGTTTCTGCATTAGTATAACATGCTGTTATACCTTGTAGAGTCGAAGAAATAAATTGTTCAATTGATTTTTTCAATTTTCGATTTTCTCTCTCATCATTGGATGCTATTGTTGGTGTCCAACGATGAAATAGAAATTTTCTACCTGTCTTCATTTCTAAATATCCATTATCACTCATAACATCTATATGTTCTTCGGTAGCTCCTGCTTGACATGAAATAATTGTAATATCTCTCTAAAATTGAAAAAGAAAAGTCGAGCAATGTACTCTCACATGCATTCTAGTGTTTTCGAGACTTTACACAGGTTATTTCGACTGTTGACAGCTCACAGGATTTTCTCTAATCGTAACTCTATTATAAATTACTCAAAAATTTTTTTCTACCAGTTAATAGAGGCAAAACTCAAATTTCGTTTTTGTACCTTTTTGTATTTTTTCTCTTAATAGAATTGATTTTTAAAATTTTCTTTTACTAATTCCTAGAAACCAACCTGTAAAAGTTGTAACAGAATGTTTTCACTACGTTTTAAAACCAATTGCAAGTTTCTAATGGCATCTCAGTATTACTATTAATAGACTTTATATATGAAACTGTAAGTTTCATTGAGCTCGAAATTACATCTCTGGTGATAATTATATTAAGATTGAATGCCCAAAAAAGGATTTATCGTACCGGCATAGAACTACTTTGATTTGTTAAATAAATTTCTATTGAACCATTTAATACTGAGATTTTTCTCATTGATAATGATGAAAAAAATTCATTTGATTGTTGTATGAGTGAATTTGATATATTCGATATGATGGATGATGCTTTTGGAATTGAATAAACTTTCATAATAGTTTTTGTTTCGATTTGATCTATTCGACCATAGTTAACATAAACGAGTCGATTCAATTGTCGATAATCATAATCAGTTAATAGAATAGAATTTCCAATTTGTTCATATTGACAAATAATTCTATGAATAAGAAGTTTTTGTATTTTTTTTTCTATGGTTTCCAATAAATATTGTGGTGCACTAAATTCTTTTAGTCGTATTCGTATTTTAACACTATCATTTTTATATTCATTTTCAATATCATCAAGTTGTTCAATACAATTGTCAAGGAGATATTCATGCTAGAATAAATTCATTTATAAATTAAATACATAAGAATAATTTACTAACTTGATTTGTATCGATTTTCATTTGAACACTTTTTATTGTATGTTTATTAATAATCGATTGCAATTGTTTTTTAACATTTTTTGCTAATTTTCTTTGTCCAAATAAACTTATTTTTATATTTGTTTTATATGGATATTTACAATGAATAATAGCTAATTCAGAATTTTGCCTACTGGCAATAAATAGATCAACATCATTCAAAAATTGTTTAGTTATTTCTTTAGGCATTTCGATATTTTCAATGTATTCGATTTGATTATTTAATATCTCTGTAATTTCATTTTCAGAAACTTTAAATGATTCATGAGTAAAATAAACAACTTTAAAATAACCATAAAATAGAGCTGTTTTTTCCCATAGAGTAAATATTTTTTGTTCATCCATAATTTGTTGTATAACAGGAATAATAAGATCTGATGTAATTTGTTGCGACCAATAGATAACTAAGTAGAAGATATATTAAAAAATAGAAGACTTTCAATTGAATAGTTTAATTACTTTTTTGATGAATTTCTTTATTATTGAAAACTGTCATTTGTGTTAATTCGAATAAATTCGGAATTGTTTGTAGAGCTGTTTTGACGTTTCTTTTCTCACCGGTCAATGTCAGAAAAATATCTTGTGTTTGTAATAATTGAATTTTACATTCGATATGATGTGAATTTAATAAATACTCTTGTATATGTTTGCGAAATAATGGATTATAAAAGAATCTTATATTCGAATGGAGATTGTCAATAGAAAGAGTTAATGTTTTCGTATAATCGTTTTTACTCATTTTTAATAGATAAGGCAATTGAACGATGAAAAATTTAATTATCTGAAAGATAAAAAAAGATATCCTAGAATTATTTGGAATACATTTTAATGATAGATCAGAGTCATAAAATCTTATTTTCTAAGATAATTCGAATTAGACCTGTTGTTATTTCATAATAAGTATGAACATCGAACAACTAGATGAATGGATTTTTTATTTTGTTTTTGAGATTTGTTGAATAGATTCGATCCATTAAAATCTATTCTCTGTACATGAAAATTTCATTACATTTTAATTTTTTCTCAAGTATTAATTGAGACTAAAGTAATGGAATGGTGATTTTAAATTATCAATATGATGTGAGATCGTAGTAAAGAAGTCTTATGCATTCATTTCGATTTCATTATAGAAAATACTTCATTTCGCTGTTTGGATGGTCATTCAGTTCCTCATTCTTTGATCTAAAAAATAAATCATTTAAACATATGAAGTGTTTTTTTATTAGACACAGCAATTTGTAGATACATAGCAGGCAAAAAAACTCGTGACACTTGAGAATTGATCTCCGTTGTTTCGTTATTGAGCTCATTTAAATTTGTTTCGTATAAAAAATATACATATGCTACTAGCTTCTACATACTACTGAATAAACGAAATAGAATTACTTATTTTTAGAGAAAACTTCAGAACAAAATAGCTCCATAGGCAAAAAGTTCTTTGACACCTCTTCTATAGCTCGATTGTTGACATATTCAGCAATTTGAGCAACACCAATGAAAACAACACAAAAAAATCACCCCTTTCAATTTCAGTTCGATTTAGAAATAAGAGAGAGAGAGAGAGAGTAAGTATAGTCTAAAAAGCAGGTTTTCATAGGAAAATGTCTGTCTTATTCGAAAATTCTCTCGCAGATGTCGATAGAAAAAAGATTTCATAGATATTTTTCATGTGTTTTGAAGAGGTATCTTATCTCTACAAAACATGATATCAACGGACTACTTCGCATTTAAAATGTAAAAGTACAGCCATGAAGAAAAAGACATACAAAACAAAAATACCACAATATTCTAGCAATGTTTGCTGTGAAAATTTACAAAATAAAACTCCTTGTTTTTCTTCATGATTGCAGTCTTAAATTTTGAAAGCGAAGTGGTCCTTTGATATATTATTTTGTAGAGGTAAGACAGCTTTTTAAAATATGCGAAAAATATTTATAAAGTCTTTTGTCTATCGGCAGTGGTGAGAGAATTTTCGAACGAGACAGACATTTTCCTATGAAATTAGATCATACTTACTTTCCCTCTCTTATTTCTAAATCGAAATGAAATGGCAAGGGGTGAGTTTTTATGTTGTTTCTATTGTTGTTGCTCAGATTGCTGAATATGTCAACAATCGAGCTATAGAAGAGGTGTCACAGAACTTTTTACCTCCACTGTACATATGAGTTTCATCACACTTGAATTTTATTTTTTTTACTGTTTAAAAAGACCTATTGTCATAATTTGAAATTTTTGTGATGTAAAAAATTCAAATAACTTTCTCAATAAGATCAAAATCAAGCATATGATTGTTTTTGACAAGAATATGACAAGATTCTTTACCACTTTGTTATGAAAAATACATACTCATTTATTTCCTATGAAGACGTTGTTTCTTTTAAGATGATGAAGAGAAATGGATTATTTTCACTTCTACATTGTTTTTTTCCAATCTGGTGTTTTTTCTTCTTCTATTATTCAAAGAAAAGAAATGAAGGACGTTTTTTTCTTCATGCAATTTGTTTTACTAATGTTTATTTTGAAATACTTTTTTTTTCTTTTACATTCAACACTCGATTGTCATCACTTGAAATTCATTTCTCGATTGAATATATTTTATGGATTCCATTTCAACTGTAGGAATCGACGATTGCATGTGATCCACTATATAAAATGTTTTATTATAATTTATTTGTTTATTACCTGTTTGACTTGGTAAACAGGATGCAGGTTTCTGAGTGTGGCTTTCATAAAGAAGACGTACACTCTGGTTTCAACTGAGATGAATCCTAACTCGCATGGCTACCAAGTCAAAGAGACAATAAATAATAAAATGCTTTATATAGTCGATCTGGGTTCGCTCGGTGATATTGGAATTTTCCATATAAAGATAAATACCAAAACAATATGTCAATTTTTTTCTAAAAAATGTGTATAAAACTTTTAGATTTATTTTAAAATGGTAATATTATCGACGAAAAAGAATTATATTGATTATTGGGTTGAAGATAATGTTCAAAAACGATTTTTTGAAATTTCACAATTTTGTACATATTTACAAGAATATTTATATAAATATTTATCAAATCAAATCGAAACTAGTATACAAAATTTACAAAGTGATAATCGACGTTATCGAAAACAAATGGCATATAGAATTCGATTAGTTGACAAAGATGAACATGAATCTGATATAAAACAACTCTTTTATAATTTGATGAAAAAATTTTTTAAGAAAATTTCAGCAAAATTTTATAATCGTCATGATAAAGGTAAATAAAATATATTTGAATAGAAAGCTTTGTGTTCACAACGTCAATAGCATACAGTTCGGAGAAATTTCAAGGATTGAAAGGATTTAATAAATACTAATCATGTTATTTAATAAACAAAAGACCGTAGGCGTTGAACTTATTTACCGAATCTCAAATAACGCGATTCAGTATTGATCGCAATTATTTTCGGTTCAAAGCTAAAGTTATTTAGCCATAAAATCATATACTCGAAATTCATAAAGATAGTGAGGATTTTTCAAATATCTGTAATGAAAGTAAATGTTTGTTTTTAGCTTTAAAATGGTTTTCATGGAATAAAATGACTGACGACAAAATGAAATTTCTTCAAAAACTGTTGAATAAAAAAGTCAATAATATTTTTACGGTTTTATTATTAGAAAATACTAGATTATGTATGTATTATTTACCTATGGAAACATCTACTACAGCTGATATTGACAAATTAATGTATTTTATTCAAAATGGAATTTTACAAGAAGTAATACAATTACCCTTGCCACATGAACGATCTCAACAATTAGAAAATGATTTCCATAACCTAGTATCACAGCAGATGACAAATGATGAAGTTCTAATTACATACAAATGTCTTTTTCTAGAAAAATATCCAAAACAAATTGTTATTTTGGGTTATAATAAAAAATTTATGGAAATAAAAAAACAAATTTTTGATATTATCGAACGAAATATTCTTATCACATACAAATTAAATTTATTAAGTAGATATCAAGTAAGTAAACATGATTTTTGCTTTTTTCCTAATATCAATTAAAATTTTAATAAGACTGAAAATTTTATTGATGCTAATTGGGATGAATTGGAAAAATTCGAAACAAAATACAGTGATTTTGGTGTTAAATTACGACTAAGACTCAATGAATTTTCAGCTCCTCGACATTTAAAAAATGAAATTGAATCACATATTGAACAACTATGGTCTTGTTCATCATCCATAATAACCTTCAATAGTATTCAATTACCTATTACTGTTGCTGAAAACGTTGAACAACATTTATTATTAATTGCAGAACGTGCTCATTTTTCTATTAAAACTAAATTAAAATATATCGATCAATCTTTTGTTGTACCAAAAGCATCGATATTTAACAACCAAATATTGAAATCAATCGAAGAGCAATCAAATCTATTTTCTTCTTCGAGTGATGTATTTAAAAAAATAACTCTAACAAATGGATCCATAGAACTTCGTACAGGAGATATTGCTTTGCAAAAAGTTTGTTTTCAAAAATTCTATTCATATTATTTTAATGTTATTTTTTTAAGGTTGATACAATTATTATTTCAACTATGTTCAATGGTTTAAAAGAAGGTGTTATTGAACGAATGGGTTCAATTGATTATCAAAAAACGTTTTTACAAAATGATGGTACAATGTATACAGAAACAAATGGAGGTAAATTAAATTGTAAACAAATTTTATTTTCTAATTGGTTACCTAAAACATTAATAAATACTGATGATTCTTTACGTTTATCAATACAAACATTTATGTCAAAATCTATGGAATTTACAATTAAAGAACAACATACATTATCAATTGCATTTGCTGTACCAGATTCATGTAGAAATCAAACTATCTTAGCAGAAGAAATGATTAATGAAGCTAAACGACACATCGAAATGAACAAATTACAATTGAATATTTCATTTGTATGTTTACCAGAACAACAAACTCTATATGAACAATTCTTTAATGTTATACAAAAAATTCAAGAGCCTATTGTATATTTCGAATGGCCTACTGCAAGTAAGATTTTATTTTCCTACACGACCTGAAAGAAATCTTTAGGGTAGAGATTTTGCACCCCCCCCCTCCCACGCTTAAGTGTATAATGTGAAAGTGTACAACTTACAAACAGAATTTCAAACATCTTATTTGCATGAATAAAACCCGCTACGTCGTGTTTCACAGTTTGATTACGTAGGGATTATGCTGACAGTTTTATTTATATGATTTAGTTATTGAAATAACAATTATTGTGCCGGAGTCTGAAACGGACTATATTACAAAATGTCAACAAAGAATAAACCAATATGTTTCAAGATGTACTTCTACAATAAAACTAATCTATGCAAATGGTGTTTTTCAATCTTGGGATCAACACACAATAAATTCATTCTATAAATATTGTAAAGACAGATGTATATTACCAAAACTTTCTGAAACAAACGATGAAATTGAATTAATTGGTTCAACTAGTAATGTTTTAGAAGCTAAAAAGAAGTTACAAGTTTTATCTGAATTAGTTAAACAAAAACAAAATCCTATATCACTAAATCAACGTCTCAATTCAGCCAGTACTCATTCGGCACGATCTGAAAATATGAGAATGGGTACATTATACAATGTTGTTGTTAGTTATAGCCAAAACGACAAAAGAAAATGTCAACGTTTAATCAATAGATTAAGTGAAGAAGGTTTTTCAATCGGAACAACTGAAGAACAAGTTGATCTTTGTTCTCAAATGGATAAATGTGATTGTATCATATTGTGTATAAGTGAAAATTATTATGAAAATGATTTATGTCGAGACGAAGCTAAATATGCTTTTCAAACGAATAAAAAAGTTTTTCTTGTTAAAATTCAAAGTTGTCCTATACTTGGTTGGGATAATAATTTATTTGAAGGAAAATTATTTTTTCATTCGTATGGTTCGAATTATTATTTCGATTTAGAATATGGACGATTATTAATTCAATTAGTAAATTTAGAATAAGATGAGATTCAATTTTTATAATTTAAATCATTGACTTATTTTTAGCTTCAATATACAAAACCTGGGTTCGTTTCAATGTTGAAACAAAGATTAAATCGTACACAACAGCAAGATGCTGACGAATTTCGAGAGCTACCAAATGTAACACAACAATCATTCAATAACAATCAAATTGTTGAAAAATCTGAAAAAATAAAAATTCAAGAATTCAAGAATCCATTTAAAAAATTACCAAGTATACCAACGAATACTGTTAAAATAAAAATCGAACAAGATAACCATGTAAAAAATATGATTTCGAAACGTAAGTTTATTTGACAATCATAGCATATTAATGAATTCTACGTGAAATCTTTTCAAAAACTGATTGTTTTTCCTATCAACAGATACGATATCGTAAATATACAGATTATAGAAGTTCATCGAATGCGCTTATGTGTCTTGACTGTGTATTACTAATGTGTGCAGGACGAATATCGATTGTTATTTGATGTGAATTTTGTGAAGTAGAGAGTATAATGAAGTCAATTTGATTCTGTTCGAAAATATAGTTAAAGATGATCAAATAAAAAATCGAGTACTTTTTTTCTTTTGCAAGATTTCAAAAGAACAATTTATGAACGGTATACTCTAAAATAACAGCAACTGGTATCAAGAATAACTAACAAGGAAAATCATTCTGACAATAGGATCCGATCGAATTGACCCACTATGAATTCATTTACTTGGGTAGAAGCATAATAGAATATGTATTTAATAAGCAAGAAAGAACTTACTTCGTTGTTCCTAACTTGAATTTCCTGAGTCATATTTAGATCAGCATCACAGTCAATCCTGCAATATCTGAATATATTTTTGTCTCTGTTTTTCTTTTTTAGGAGAACTCAGTTTCTTCGAAGAACGATGGTTAAGAAAGTTAATCGATATTTCCAAACGAAAGTCATTTCTAGTTACACCAGAAAGATCATCCTATGATAGTGGCGGTAGACATCAATTTGAAATACCTGCAAATTATTATAAGATTGCAGATTCATCAATTCTTTCAATTTTTTCCACAAATCCCTACGGTACTTTTTTTTCTAGTTCATGTAGGTATCTTGAAGAACCATGTGGGAATCGAAAAATTCAATATCAAGCAATGCGCCATTGTACTGTTAACATGCTGACAGACGAAAGTCCAACATATGGACATCGAACAGGACAATTTCCAATAATCGACAGTTTATCTCAAGTATTTCCAACCATTGTTTCTACTTCTGATTTCATACCACGTCGAGTAGAAATACCTTATAGATGTAATTTCTCGGGCCATTCAGAGCGTAGTGAAAAACAAATGGAAAAACGACGTGAATTGGATAATCCAGAAAATATGAACCATATACGAGATAAACTTGGTGAATACTTCATGAACAAATATAAACACTATACAAAAACACAAATGAATGTTTATTTAAAATTTGCACAACGAATGAAAGATAATAGTATTGAATTTGAAAAATTCTGTTCGACTGCTACTTTCGTAAAATAGTTAACAATTTCATTAGAAACATTTAATATTTATTGTTTTAAAGAAAGATTGTAAAAATGATCCTATAATTATATAAAGCGCCTCAAGAAACTTTAATGCTGAAGAAATTGATAAAATATTCAAAGGTAAAATTTGGGAGTATATTTGTGGATAGATAATTATAGATGACTAAAACATTGAAATATGCATATATCCTATCTTACTTCAACATTGAGATGTGGCTTTTCGATAATACGCATTGTCGTTGTTAGAATAATCGAATCTTATTATTCGTTCATCTGTTGCAAACAAACAATCGACTTTTTCATCTCCAGCTTTGGTGAACGACAAACATTTTGGTTTTTATTGATTAAAGTTAAAACAATAGTGTTTATCGATAGAACAATTAGCCACTACTTCAGACATATACGTAGGTATTAAACCAGGACAATCAAGTTCATCACATCCATTTGGTCGATTCCAAAATCCATCACAACGATGAACTCGAGCTTCACATGGCCATGTATCACAATCAATTTCTTCATCAACATAATTTTATCACTTGATCCTTCCATTTTTAAACCATTACATAAGTCTTCAAACATGATCGGAAATGATTTATTTAAATTGAATTCACGTAAATATTCACAATCACACTCGTACGTACATCCAATGGGAAATAATTCATCTAAAGACAACCAGCAATCACGTTCATTATCATATAAAAATTGTCTTGGCATATATAAATATACGTTGACTATTAATTTTAGAAAAGCATTTAAATCGATCTGTTCAATTGTATGAAGATGTTTTACTTTTAACAACATCTTCATCATCATTATCTGAATATCAATCTATATGTCTGTCTAAGAGTCAATGGCGAGAAATTTGATTACCATTTGTACATTAGTAGAGATGTGAATGAGATGATGATGAATCAAAACATGATGAGAAAAGCTTTTGTAGAGTCACCAGAAAACGAATGGCATGATAAAGTCCATTTTGATTTATCTTTCAAATAAACAAATCTTGATAACAATCGTATCCATTTATTATTTGCGACGATTCATAAAAGTCTAGTGACTTTCTACGGCATGAGAATGTATTATAGCAAATCATACTCGCACTAAAAGACTACAAATCTTGGTGGGTGTGGGTGTGGATGTGGGTGTGTGGGTGTGGGTGTGGGTGTGGGTGTGGGTGTGGGATGGGTGTTAGGATAAATTGAACACTCACACTCACCCACCCAGCCACCCAAAGTCACAGCCATACTCCACACCCACACACCCACACCTACACCCACACCCACACCCATCCACCACCACACCCACACCCACCACCACATCCACACCCACACCCACACCCCACACCCACACCCACCACCACACCTACACCCACATCCCACACTCACCCATACCCACACTCTTTTCTTTGAATACTCACACGCACACCCATGCCCACGTCCATACTCACACCCTTTAATAGATATTTTGGAAGCACAATGTGCATCCTAGCATTAGGACAAAATTCTGGATATCCCGAGAATCCTGTCAGAATACAGAAATCGACGGTTCCGCCTTGCAAAATTGCGTAGCATTCTATTTCGGTTGTTATCTTATTATCATTTCATCTAGCTAAAAGTTTACTCAAATAATGCACTTGAAGAAATAATAACAAAACTGAAGTGTACTAACGGGGGAACATTCTCAGGTGTTCGATCGCTTTTCAGTCGAGGTTGCATGCATCTTGTAGCCCTTAGTTAGCTGTGTCTATGGTTAAAAAAGTTCGGGTTTCTGGCTTATTTTTGAGGAGATATCGGCCTCCTAGTGAATTTTCTTTAGAGTACGCCTACATTGGCAGCAAAGCTATACTTTCCAATTTTGACCTAAAACTTTGCCTGCATAAAGGCCTCAACTAGACTAGGTTACATAAAAAATTTCAGAAGATTCGAATAAAGTCTCTCTAAGATATGAAACTATCAAGGTATAGCCCCTTTTTCATAAATAATATATATAGTATGCATGTTTTTCAAAGCTTCGTATCTTAGACAGATTTTATTCGAAACTTCTGAAATTTTTAATGCAAGCTAGTCTAGTTGAGACCTTTAGGCAGGCAAATTTTTAGGTCAAAATTGGAACGTATAGCTTTGCTGCCAATGTAGGCGTACTCTAAAGAAAATTCACTAGGAGGTCGATATCTCCTCAGAAACAAGCCAGAAACCCGAAATTTTTTAACCATAGACACAGCTCACTAAGAGCTACAAGATGCATGCAACCTCGACTGAAAAGCGATCGGATATCTGGGAATGTTCCCTCGTAAGTAGTTTTTGAAATTAGATATGCAATCGCTGTCAACCAAATAAGCTCATAAGCCATCATTTTAAATTGATTTAGTTCTTTTCTGACCCTTGTAAAATTGCGCTTTAAGTTCGATGCCATCGGAATCAGTTTTATTTCTAGTATAGAACACTACAGCGTAAGTGTTTTTTAGTTATTTACTAGAATCGGATCTACGGATCAATTTGCATAAACCATTTGTCAAATTTCTCACGTCTAGAGAGATATGAGAACAAAAAAATAACAATGCAGTTAATAGGACTACATTAAGGTTTCTGAAAAACATCAGTTCACGGCGATTCCAGTTATGAATTTATTTAAAACAGAAAATGTGCTGCCATCACAGTAGATATCACGCTTTCGCACACGATTCTCAGTGATGGGAGATAATATAAGAAGAAAAGGTCTTTGAAAAAATTAAATGGGTAAAGCAAAAATTTAATTGTACGATTTCGTGAATGTCGAAATGAAAATTATTCGAATGCTATAAGTCATTTTAATTAAAAGTGTTGGCCGTTTACTATCGGTGTTACACGAGTGGTATTGCTCTGTATACTATGACTTGCTTGATGCAGTCTCTCAGAAATAGTTTTCCGAAGCTTGGGCGTTATCCAGAATAGAATGCCAAGCATCAAGAGTGATGATGCAGCCATAATGAAGCATAACAAACGAAAAAACCGATAAGACAAAAGTTCAATTCGAATTGCAGCAAGTATCATAACAATAAGTGCTGGTAGGACGAGAAAAAGTAGTGCAAAATGAAGAACTACGATACGACGGACCATTGCCATGTCTCGATTCATTTTTTGTTGTTGAGAGCCATTAGCTCTTGCCGAAGCCTTGTGTACAAAATTTACTAAGCTTCCATAGAGACCAATCATAATAATATCCGAGAAAAAGAAAGTTGTGGCACCGACAGTAAAGAGTAAATCAGGTCTTGAAAGTGAGACTAAACATACATTTTCTACAGGAATCTTCGTTACATTGCCTGTGAAAAACACAGGCAAAACAAAAGTAAAATCAAATATCCATTGACCGAGTACAAGGCATATTTTTCTAGTTGGACTATCGAGTAGTGTAATTCTCGTAATGCTACAATACTTTTGCAGTGCTTGTAAAACAAGTGAATGATGCATACAAGCAATTGCAGAATGATTAATATAAGCGCGTAATGCGCAAAGTGAATAAAAGTCCGGAGCTAGCTGTTGGTCCAAGAGAAACATGTAGAGAGCGACCGCCACAGCGTTGCCTGAATATACCAATGCGGCTAGAATAGTATTGCAAGCTAATAATGTTGGAAAATCGAAGCATCGGCGACGATCAACGAATGCAATTAAGAGCAACAGCAAAGCCATGAGAAAAGTCAAACAGCAAATACTTATGTACATCAAGCTGACGACAGTGAGAAAATCCATATCTCTAGTAATCTAAAATGTCTTCATAGATTATATTCAAACATAGAGAATACCTTTTCTGTAATGATAAAAGTAGAATGATTCAAGTGAAATTCTTTCAGAATGAACAATAATTGTAGTAGTCAATGGACATATTATTTTTGGTGTCAAACGTAACCAAAAGAAAACAATCATTAGGACTTATCCTGTGCGTGTGCTTTCGCTTAATCTAAATGATATAGGAGTGATGACCACTGATCGTAGGAAAATAGGTAAGTAAACATAAGAATCTGCTATTGCCATTGCATAGTCAAAACGTTTTTTGCAATAATGGTTAAAAATACTTTCATGCTTTCATGTCAATGGCCAATGTATTCGAAATAGCAGCATTAACAGTAATTCAATAATATCAAGAATTGGTCAAAAAAGCATTTAACAAGAAATAATGCGCATATTTGTATCCTTTGAAATCCGTTGACGCACCTTATTTCGCGCATATATTGTAACTCTGCTAGTCGAATCGCAATCTATTTCAGTAAATATGGTCATTTATTGATATTGGTAGAAAAATTCATATGAGAAATACCAACGCATATCTTCTGAAAATTTGCGAATCCTCAAATTAGTTTTCAAAATACCATAAATATCGAAATATAATGAAAACTAATTATAATATATTTTCAAATATCTGATCATAATGTGTGACTATATAGTTAATATATGATATCAGCGTTTGTGTATGTTAGCTTCTATATATATAAATCTATGGAATAAACAATGCTACTCATCTTGTATGACGTCATGAAGACAAAACAATGATCTTCATAGGAATCGAACTGATACCTTCTGCTATCCGGGTAGATGGCCTAAGCCAATTAGATTAGAAAGAATATCTTATTATTAATCTTCGTTTAGCGCCAGAGTGTACTATCACTGACACTAACAGTATAGAAATAAGTATTTTCTGATAGATTAAGATTTTCACAAAATCATGTTACAATTTATGAGATAACGTGATAATTTTTTATTCACTGAGCACGATCTAGATATTTCTAAGGTAGTATTCTTATGCATGCTTCGTTGGCTTGAACACATAATCTATTTGATTAGTCTCTGTGTATGAATAGTACTGAATACTTTGTATACAAACACATCAAGAAATCTGCGAAAAGAAATAAGAATACTGAATGAATGTAGATCGACTTGTTTTCAGGGTGTTCATAAAAGAACCAATAAGACATTAAGCTCTACCATGTTTTCGACTCGAAGTTTCGAATCGACCGAATCAAAA